AAGCAGGTCATACGAAATGCTGCACTGGCCACGCAAAAGCATCCTCAAGTTCAAATTCCAAAAATGCGACCCCTCTCACGAATTCACCCGTTTCACCTCAAAATATCGCATCCATGGTGCGGATGCCCTGCGCCTGCCACGTGAAACGCAATCCTGCGAATGACACACGCCTGCCAACGTTTTTGCAACGTCCACAAAACACTGCGCCTGCCACGAAATTTGCAAAGTCTCCGATTCCTTGCACCTGCCACGTAAAATGACCGTTTCGAGGCTCCAATGTGTCGAATTCCTTGCGCCTGCCACGCAAAATGCACTTCATGTCCGAAAACGAGCACGGCACCTGCACGAGAGCTTTGTCCCGGAAGCGCGAAAGGCGCGGCCACCACTTTATGCGAGCCTGCGCAGTCGAAATGGACATGAGGAATTCAAAAAGTCACTTTTGCGCGAGCCGGCCCACGCAAACTGCCGCGCCCACACGCGCGAACCCTGATCTAAACCCGCTTAGCTCTTACCGTAAGAACCCCTTAGTGCGGAGCACTATTTGGGGAATTATGAGGCGGGTGCTAGGAGGCAATTTTGTTTGTGCAAATCCAATGCTTGATTGTGCCAGGGCGGAAGAAGAAACAGCAGAAAAGAAGACGCGAAAGAAGCGAGGGCAACGTCAGGAGCTGGTGTTGCCGGTTATGATGGTTGTTTTGATTAACTCCTGTTACCGAATCCTTTTGGCAGGACCGGCCGTGGACAATTTGGTCCTTCCCGCCCGACGTGTCGACCTCCAAGCAGAATGGTGGCTTCGAAGCGGTCGGGCGCCACAGACGCAAACTTTTTTCAACGCCCTTCAACTTGTCAGACATAATGCCTGAGGCCCCACCGCAACCGACGACCGCCAGAACTGCCCAGGGCCGGCCCGGTTGCGTTTGACAATCGGCTTTGTCGGGCGCCGGACGCGCGTTTCATGCGCCGCCACGGCCGCCACGGCCTCGCAAAGAACAACCCCACCGGTGTGGCCCTCAGGGGGTCCACAAATTTGTGACTAAAGCTTTCCGTTTTGTTGCAGGTTCGACAGAGCCAAACTTTGGGCAAAGGCCGCCAAGTTTGGCCGCGTGGACTTCCAGCGGGAACGTTTGGCGCCCAGAGGTCGGCACCGCTTTCCCAATCTTTGAAAGCAAACTTGGTCGAAGGGCGTCCACTCCTACCACCCGAACTTCCGTTCCAACAAGGTTTTAGCAGCAGCTCCCCTAGTTGGATTCGTTTCGGTCAAATCTGCCTTGCAGGAGCGGAACCGGCTGGCCCACGCTTTGAACGGCAACACGGCGGCAACACCGCGCGGCTCTCAACCGTCATTTTTAGATTGTGGAATGGGAAGCTTTTACAAACATTCTTCTCTTCGCTTTGTTGTGGTCAGGACGGTTGCCTTTGACCGGGCCTTCCTCGAAGCGCTTTTGGGCGCTTCCTCGGAAGGCCCGCGGCCTCCTCAGCCGCCGAAGCTCCGGCTTCAGAGGCACGACTTGCCGCTACATCGTGAGTTGTGATAGGCTTTCGGTTTCGCTTCGTGGCAGGCGTGGCCGGCGGACTCTCACGGGGAGGGGTATTTATTTTTGGATTTTTTTGAATTTTTTTGTTTTTCGTGGCTTCTGGCTTCTGGCTTCTGTGGCTTCTGGCTTTTGTGGCTTTTGGCTTCTGTGGCTTCTGGCTTTTGTGGCTTTTGGCTTTCGTGGCTTCTGTGGCTTTTGGCTTTTGTGGCTTTTGGCTTTTTGGCCTATCCATCTATCTGTCTATACCTATCTATTTATCTATCTTTCTTTCTTTTGGCAGCTGTTCTCCTTTCTCTTTTTGTATTTGCTTTTCCTGTTGTTTTCGTTGCAGGGACGAAACCAAACAAGGAAGCAAGCAAGCAAGCACGAGCTGCTCACCTTTGGATCTGGTGTGCTGCTGGGGGGGG